TTTGCAAATAATTTCTTAGTAGATTCTTTAAATCCATTTTGACATGCAATAATTAATAAGTCAAGGGTTAGATAATTAATGTTAATATCATTCACTTCAAGTAATTTTCCTAATAATGAAATTGATATGTTTGCTAATCTTTTTACTTCAAATTCAAATGAATATTTTATTATTTCTATTTCAATAGAAAATGTAATGTCTCTTTGACTTGAAGGTATTCCAAAAAGAAAGTCAGTAAATCCAATTTGTAAAAATTCTTCACATAATGATTGAAATGAAATTATTTCTCTTTTTTCTATGCAAATTAAAGGAATTAATTTAATTAAAACAATAACTAACCATGGCATAGATACTCCGTGATATGTTATTTCATAATTAGGTTCTGTTAATAACCCTTTAAAAATTTGAACTAAACTTAATGATAAACATTGATATTTTTTTAAATCAACTCCATTATTTTTGTCTTTAAGAATTACTTCATATAATAACTTACATAATGATTGAACAACTCCTAAGTCATATTCTTTTTGAATTAATAACTCAACTTTTTTAATAAACTGCGGTTCAAGATTAATTAAACTAGGAAAGAATTTAAACATTTGTTTTAAAACTAACAACGCTTTCTTTCTAACTATTACTTCATTATTATTAAAAGCTAAATTCATTACAGTTTGTCCAACCACTTCTGCTATTTGTGCATCTGAGATAACAGCTAGAGTTGATAATGTTTCACAAATTACTTCATTCTTGGTGTTTTGAAGATCATGTTGCATTGTGTTAATTAATAAACTGCACGCTCCAGGAACGTTTCTATAACAAGTTAAAAATGTTAGATATCCAGCATGTTTATAAATAAATTTTGAATTAGCTAATGATGTAATAACTTCAACCATCCCATAATCTACTTCATACCCTAATGTATTGATAAAAACTAATTTATATGAATTAATCATTCTATCATGAGCAGTTATCTTTGGATTTGAAAATTCATTTCTTATTTTTGCAAGTTCTTTTTGAATAACCTCTTGCTCTTTTTCTATTGTAGAACAAGAATTTATTTGATTAACAAATTTTCTTATGTCACCATATGTTGTTTTAACACTCATTAATTAAATATGCAAAATTCTAAATTCTTTTATTAAATTTTTTTATTATTCTTATTGTTTTATTTTTTAGTAATTGAATATTTTGTTTTTAAGAAGAATTATGTTATTATTTATTTATGTTTATTGGTTTGAATAATTTTTAAGAAGAATAACTCTCAAAACTTTTCATAAAAAAGACTTTTTATTGGTAATTTTAACTTATCATTATTATAATATAGAAATTGGTTTGTTTCATTCCATTCTTAGAAGTGATTTTAACAATTACAATTTATCAAAAAAGAATAAACCAAAGTTATTACCACTTCCTAAAGTATGGAAAGCTTGTTCAAATAAACGAATGTTGTAGGAGTAACATGACAATTAAATAGGTTAAAAGAATTGAAAAGAGAAAAGATATAACAAAATATTGAAGATGAATAAAAAATCAAACATGAAGAATAACACAAGAATAAGAATTTTACAAAAAAACAAAAAACTAATAAAAGATAAATGGACAAAGATTATAGAGAAACATTGTGGGGGATGGAAGAGGATCATTCATTAAATCAAAGTGATAGTGATGATTTTAGGGATATACTAAGTGATCATTCAGCAAGTATTGATGATGAAGATGATAGTATTGACAATTCTAAACCTAAAACTAGAAAACTTCCTGATGCTGTGAAAAAACTCATTGGAGAAGCGTCAATGTGCTATGTAAAAAAAGAATATTCACAAGCAACAGAATATGCACTCGAAGCAATTAAAATTGCACCACAAATACCTGATAGTTATCATACATTAGGAATGATTTATCTTGATTTAGGAGATACTAAAACAGCACGAGAATACTTTATGATTGCAGCTCATATGAAACGTACAGATGCTGAATTATGGAAACGACTTGCAGATATGTTTAAAGAAGATGGAGATATGGAACAATATTATTATTGTTTAAGTCAAGCCGTATTACATGATTCTAAGAATGTAGAATTATTATGTGAAAGAATAGAAATTGGAAAGAAGATGGAAGATTCAAGGGGAGTATTAATGACATTTCAATATCTTATTTCATTAGATGGATCACCAAATACAGCAAAACAAATTGTTAGTGCATTAATTAGTGAAAAAAGAATGAAAGATGCTAGTTCAGTTGTACTTGGAGCAATAAAACAACGAATGAAAGAAAATAAAAGTATTGATTTAGGATTAGCTAATGTATGTATGGAATTATTATTAGGAATAAATAAATTAGAAACATTTCAAGAATTTGTTAAAGAATATTTTAAATTTGCAGGGATTAATGATGAAAATATTCCAATTGATATGAAAGTTAATTGTTGTCTTTGTAATATTAGATTAGGACAAAAAGAAGAAAGTCAAAAATGTATTGAAATGATGATACAATCTACAACAGCAGAAAATGTAGATTTATCATTATATATTGCTAATGAATTAATGAAAGTAAAGGAATATGAAAGAGCATTAGAATTATTTGAAGTAATTAGAAAAGTTGATGGACAAGATAATGCAATGAATTGGGGGAATTGTGCTATATGTTTATTTAATTTAGGAAAGAAAGAGATTGGAATTGAATTAGCAGAAAAAGCATATCCTGAAATATCATTTAGAGGAGATATTACTATTCTTCTTATGAGACAATATTATAAGAAAAAACAATATCAAAAAGTATTAGAAGTAAGTGAGAATTATTTTTTAAGTTTAGAACAAGGAATAAATGATAGTGTATTTGACAGTTTAGAAGAACAAGAAAATGTTGTTGAAATTCTTAGACTTAAAATGAAGGCTAATTATGGATTAGAAAGATATGAAGAATGTTATGAATCATTTTTATGGTTATTTGGGAAATTATTACAAAAAGAAGAGTTAGATCTTATTCGATCAAGAATTAAATTATTTAGATTTACAAAAAATAAGAAATGGAGGAAAGGAGCAGTTTTAAATCTTCTTGGGATTGATTTACCTGAAGAAGATAAAGAAATAACCAAAAGGATTGTAGATGTTGAAAAAGATGAAAATAGGTTATTTCAAACAAGAAGAAAAAGAAGAAAAGGAACAGAAAGTAATCAAGGGTCAATTATTACAATTACACCTCCAATGCCAAAAGATGGATTAGTTTGGGAAAAACAAGGAGAAGATGAAGATAATAAAAAGAAAGAAGATAATAAAACAGAAGAAATAAATGAATTTACTGAAATAAATCAAATAGAAAGAAAAACACGAAATGTAGATAGAGATAATAAAACAGTTATTGAAGTTGCAGGAGTTTTTGTATTACTTGAAGAAGTTATTGGAATTAGAAAAATTAAAAAATATATTATTTATCATATTAATTGTTCTGCTCATCTTGGATTAATGGAAGAATGTAAAAATACATTAGAAACATTAATTGGATTATATAGAAGTGATGAAGAAATAGAAACATATTTAAGAATATCATATATTAATATTGCTATTGCAAATCAATATTATGATGGAGCAATATTTCAATTAAAATCATTAGGATTATTGTTACCAAAAAGGAAAGATATTTGGTATTATTTTAATAAAGTTATTGTATTATCTAAAAGACAAACAAATCCTACATTACTTAAATATTTTACTAGAATGCATCAAAAATGTCCAAATGAAAGAATAATTACAGTTATTCTAGGAAATTTATTTTTAACAACATGTCAATATAATAAAGCATTACAACAATATTTAAGTGTTTATGAAGAAGAAAAAGAATCTGCTGTTCTTAATTTATCTATTGCTATGGCTTATTTAGGAGATGTACCTAATAGAAATACAATGGATAAATCAATTGCATTTGCAAATACTTTAACATTTATGAAAAGATATCTTATGTTAGGACATTCAAAAAAAGAATGTTATTTTAATGTTGGGAGAATGTATCATCAACTTGATATTTCATATCTTGCATTATATTATTATGAACAAGCATTATCAGTTCTTCCAAATGATCAAAATGAATCATTACTTGATAGAGAAATAGCTTATAATCTTTCATTAATGTATTATAAATCAGGAAATAAAAATCTTTGTATAAAGGTACGTCATAAATACCTTTTATTTTAATAATTACATTGTATTATTTATGGAATTATTTTTTGTTAATAAGATGTAATTATATTACAAATCTTGAAGTAAGGTTCATTATGAATTAAAGTTATTCAAAGATTATTGGTTGTATTTTTAGACTAAAAAAGGTTTTTGAATTTTTGGTAATGGGAAATAAAATTGATTTTTTCCTTTTTGTAAATGAAAATATAAAATAAAGAGATAAAATTATGGTCATTATTATCAATATTTACATATATTCATTTGGGGGTTTGGTGGTGTGAATAGTATTAGAATAATTAATAACCTCCTTAGAAGACAGAAACAATATAAAATAGTAAAGAACCAATAAAGGATTTCAGATATTTTAAAAATAAAAAAGTTTCCAATCAAATTAACAAAATTAAGAATTTGATAGTCTTCCTTTCTTTTTTCAGAACATAGAAGAAAGTGATGTATTATTTTGATACAGTTATTTATTATTAAAAAAAAGTATTTTGAAACAATATTATAACTTTATGTCATCACCTGAAGTTAATAGAGTTAAAATTAAACTAGAATGAATTTAATTGATTCTTTTTGGTGACATAATATCTTGTAAGGAGAGCCAAAACTAATACACTTCTTTTCCAATAAAGAATCAGACAAATTGTGGAAAGAAAGATATAAAATTACTAACAAAAGAAGAAAAGCATTTGGTTATTCATCAGAAAAACTCATACAATCTTCAGAAAAGTAAAAATTTAATGAAACAAAAAACCAAGCAACGTGGAAGACAAAGAAATAAAATAAACAAACTAGGAATAATACATTTAATTGATCAATAGTATCATGAACCCATTAGAATATGCTCAAATGAAACTTATTGTTGGAAAAGTTAATTCTAAACCTAAGAAAGATACATTTAATCTTGATGATAAAAAAGAATGGGATTGTTTAAAAAGATCAAGTAAAACTTTTGAGGCATGTCAACAAGGTGCTCTTTTAGGAGTATTTTCATTACTTGGAATGAAATTAGAAATTGAAAAAGTTTATAAAAAATCAACTAAAACATCTCCTTTACTTAATGTTCGTTATGTTAGTCTTAATAATGAAAGAATAGATATTCATAACAATGTTCAATCTGAATTAGATACAGCTAAACAACGTTGTGATTCAGATAAAAAATGGGCTTCTCGTTTAATTAAAAGATCTATGGATGCTATTGCTTTTGGTAAATTATTAGAAGTTGCAGAAAAAGCATCTATTCAATGTCAAATGAAAAAAACAAGAAAAGCTGAATTTACTGTTGTAATGCAAAAAGTAAAATCAATTTCAACAATTATTAATGGATTTTCTTATCTTCTTGATAAAGAACATATTAGAGATTTTGGTTTAGCTGTAAATCATTATATTGTTCAAAAAATGGCAGGTTCAAATAGAAAAACTTGTCTTTCTGAAAGAATTATTTATGTACAACCAAATGATTTTACTATATTACAATTATTTAAAAAATATGTAATGAAAACTTTTAATAAATTAAGTGCTTTTACTCCTGTTAAAAGTGAATTATTAGAATATGATGGTTCTTGTTTAGAAGTAAAAAGTCTTTGTATTGATTCATCAAATACTTCTGATGATATTCATAAATTTTCTTTCACTTGTCATATATAATATTATTATTATCTTATTTATTTCCTTCTAATTAACTTACTTGGTGTATTTTGTTCTTTCTCTATTCTTTGATTAATCAATTAACTTCTTTCCTTTTCCTATCTTTCATTTTTTTTCTTATTAACAATTCCTTTTTGTATTTTTACTTTTCTTTTTTTCTTTTATTTCATCATAAATTCATCTCTTTTACTAAAACTAAATTCTTCTTTGAGTTAATACATCTTATGACCAATTAACAACACTCATTTCATTTCTTTATTTAATTTCTTTATTATTCTAACTATTTCTAATTGAATCTTATTATAACAATTTGTCTATATAAATATATAAATGAATAAGTCATTTCCCTCATAATTAATCGAAACTATTTTCTTATCATTTTGTCTTCTGACACTAAAAACTCAAAACATTTTCTTTCGTTTCATCAAAATACCCTATTTCTTTCATTCAATATCTTATATTAATCTATTCCACAAAACAAAAATCTTTTTTCATTATTAAGCTAGTTCATTTTCATAATTGATTTATTTTTCTTATTATCTTCTTCATTTATTCTATTTTTGTTTTTTTTTTCATAATTCGACTGTTATTATTGTGTTATTCAAATAACATTTTTTATTTTTGTTCTGAATTTAAAAAAAAAACAATCTTATAAATGATATAAGATAATGACGTGGAGACCCGTCAATTCTTCAATTTGGAGTTCTTGACTGCAATCTGGAATAAAGAAGAAGCTTGAAAAACTAAGAGATAGAACTATTTAAGGACAGAACTGAAAGGAAAAAAACCATTGAAAATACAAAATGCCATACGAACATGATAAACACGCTACTGATAAATTTGGTTACAGAACCACTACTGATAAGAAAGGAGGAGCTGGAGCTCATTCATGGGGAAAAGTAGATGATACTGAAACATGCCCAGCTGCACTTGATAAAAATGATCCAAACTATGATTCTGAAGAAGAAAAGAAACAAAAGAAATGAATTTTCGGGTAGTGATTCTGTACTCTAAAAACAATTAATTCAGTTTTATTCTAATGTTTTTATTAATTATTTTTCTTAACTCTAAAATAATATATATTTATGTTAAAACATATACTTTTCATTTTATTATTTGTGATTCTAAATTCTTATGCCTTGTATTATCCATCTAATCCTAATATCCCATCAATGAATAAAATAAAATATGATTACCAATTACCCTTTGACTTAATTGATTTGAAAACAAAAACAAAAGATAATGAAATTGTCCATTTGTATTATGGAATTCATCCTAATTCTTCTCAGTTGTTAGTATTATTCCAAAGTAATGCAGGTTGTTTTCTTGATAGATTATTTCTCCTTAAATCTTTTTACTCTAAATTCAATATAAGTGTAGGAATATTGTCATATCGTGGATATGGAAATTCAACAGGAAAACCATCTGAACAAGGATTTATTGAAGATGCACTAGCCTCTCTTTCTCATTTAAGCAAAGATGGAATTCCTATTCAAAACATCACCATTATAGGAAGATCCATTGGAGTTGGTGTTGCATTAAGTGTTGCTCAAATACTTCCTATAAAAAAACTTATTCTTGAAAATGGATTTACTAATCTTGTTGACTTTCTTCCAAATTTACAAAACAATGAAGTTATGATTCGTGACCCATGGTTAAATGAACAGAAGATTGAGACAATTAATAAGAAAACTTCAATTTTATTTTTATTATCAGAAGGAGATGAAATAGTTCCACCTTGGATGACCAGAAAAATGGAAATGAAAGCACGAAGTATGGGTATTCAAACAAAGTTAGTTTCATTTCCAGGAGCAAGACATATGCAACTTCCTTATTATGATAATTATTATCGAGTAATCAAGGAATTTTTAATTGAACAAAATCAAGGAGACTTTTCAAAATAAGATGAAAAGAAAAATAAATATATTGGCGTTCTTTTACATAAGTCAATCAATACATGACTATACTAATTACATTATTAATTTGTTTTGGTTTAATCTCTGTTTTGGTTTGGTCAAAAACAAAAAAACAATATTATCAATTTGGAATTGGTAAAAAGGAATTAAGAGATAAACTTGGAAAAGTTCTTTTTAATACTGAAGTTAAATTAATTGTTTCTACTACTGTAATTGAAGGAATTATTGAAATGTATATTGACAATGATGTAATGATATTCACCCCTTTAACTTATGATATTTTAAGTCCAAATGATGTAGTTATAATTCCATTAAAAGAACATATTGAATTGTATCAAACGTTTGGTCCTATTAAATGGGATCAACGAAATTTATTATTGATTCAAAATAACAATAGAATTTCACAATTTCATTCTGACCGTATCTTTCTTCGTTTTCGTTACTCTCATGAATTAGAAATATGGTATGCATTCTCTCAGAAATCAATGAAAATTCCTTTTCCTTTATTTACTCCATCTTTGAAAATAGCTGATTTTCTTTGTTATATTACTTGTCTCAAAATATATTATTTAAATCATCAACTGGATTGGTTTAACTCAAAAATACCTTTTAGGTTCATTCCTTTCTTTAAAATCCATTCTATAACAATTCAAACTATTCCAACATCTCATTCTAAAGTCTTAACTTCATTTGATAGTTCTATTGAAATTGAAATGACATTTTCTTCAAAAAATTGGAACTTATTCAAATGTTCTTTTATTCTTCTTAAATTTTCATTATTTGCAATCCCTTTCACTCTTAGAATTCCTTATCTCTCAACTTCATTTCATTTAAGAATGGACCAACTTGGATCTAATCATTGTTGGCTTGAGATTTTACCTTTTCAATTCTGTGTGTTTATTTTTACACTCGGTGATTATCTTATACTTCCATTACTCTCTCTTATACTCAACTTATTACTATTCATTCTTTCTTCTTACTTTATTGGAAAAGTTTATGAATTCCAAATCAAAAATGAATATAATGTTTGTTAAATTAACATCTTGATAATTATCTTCACTGAAAGATGGTTTTAGGTTTTGAAGATAAAACTAAAAAAAAACATTATTTGAAATATGAAAAGAGTATGGAATGGTATAGTTCAGTGGATGGGAAAGAAACAAAAAGTTGAAGACAAACCATCAGACTTAGTTTTACCTGCCGAAGAAATGGAAGAAAGTTTATTCTGGGAGTTATTAGTTATGTTGAGTGAAATGAAAGAGTGTGGTTGTTTTGAAGAAGGAAAAGAAGAAATTATGAAATGGCAACAACACTTTGAAAACCAAATAAAAATTAAAGAGTATGAAGAAAAGAGCATCCTCAAAAAAACCCCAGAAGAAATCACTGTAGAGGAAAATGCAAAGATAGAAAATTTAGAAAAGAAGATGGTTGATGTGTCAAGAAAACTTGAACAACTTGAAAAGGAGGTTTCTTTTGAAGACAATAACACAATTAACAACGACTCAGAAGACGAAGAAATTCATAAATCAAGTATTTTTAGAGATCATTATAACAAAGAAAAAATTGTACGTATTGCACAATTAAAATAAAAAAGTAATAATAATATCATTTGCAAAGAAAATTGATTGATTTTTATTATTGATTTAATGTTGATAAGTCTAATACTTCATTAACTAATTTAGTATCATCTTGTGATGTTGCTAAATGTTCCAAACATTCTCTAAATGCAGGAATCTCTTCATAGGTTGAATGGTTAATAGCAATTCTAAGAAGAACAATAAGGGTTAAACACATTTTATGCATTACCACATCATTTGTATAATTATTTTGTCTACATAATGATGGAAATACATCAGAAAGCATTACATTGAGATCATTAATATATAGATATTTTTCAGCTTCTTTTTGAGAATAAAGAATATTCAAAACGTCAAGACAAATAGAGTACATTGACTCTTTATACTCAGTAAATATTAATTCTAATATTAGTCCTTGAGTTAATCTTCCACTTGAGAATGACTCACTTTGTATAATATTAGAAATACACTCAGAGTATATTACTAGAATTTTATGAATCAATAAAAATCCATTATTTAATGTTTTTGTTGGATGTTGATCTTCATCTAATACCATGGATATAGTATCACATATTTTATTGATAATATCTTCACTTGGTTTTTTATCTTGGATCGATTTCTGGAGTAAACTTAAAGTCCAATCAGTAAATGGTCTTTCAAAGTAGAATGGTAACTTAATATAAATATCTTCTAAATGACTTTTAATAAATGTTTCATAAAACTCTCTTTTGTAATTCAAATATAATACCAATCCTTTTAATGCCAATCCTTTTTCCTCTTCTGATAATTCATCCTCAAACACCATCTTATAATATAATTTTGGAATTTCATAATCCATTTTTTCATGAGTTTCTAATACATCAATAGAACTTTCAAGTTGATTAATTAATTCTTCAAATTCGTTTGATTGTTCTTCTGACATATTTGAAAATTAAATTATATTTTTTTTGAAGTTCTTTTTTTTCTAATTATTAATTCTTTCTTTTTCTATGAAAAGGTTATTTCTTTTTAGAAAACAAGATATCATCAACTCAATTGATTTAAAAAAATAACCAGATAGAATGAAAAAATAAGTTAGTTGTCATTAACACTTTTCTACCTCCTTTTAGAAGATGTTTAAACATGTTCAGCACATTCTTTATGTACTAATTTACCATTTTTGCCTGCAATAACATTCTTGAAATGTAACCCATCATCGGATATTTCAAATTTCTCCTTACAAATATCACAGTTCATTGAATGTTCATCAATTGGATATAAAACAACTTGTGACTGTTCAGGAATCTCTTCAACCTTTTGTGGTGCTTTTGCTTCTTCTTCTTTATCTGCAGCAAAAGCTTGAATAGTTGCATGTTCTGAAATAGGTTCAGTAATCCAAGTATTGGACGATACATACCAATCTCTACTAATACCATCTTTTAGGGAATCACATCGTTGATGCCATTGTTTATGTTGGTCGATATTATGACAATGAACTCCACAAATATCACATTGAGGGTCTAAATTATATTTTCTTGTGATTGTAGTTGTTTTTTGAATAGGCTCTGAGATTGGTTCAAGCTGTACTTCTTTTGGCTCTTGGTTATTCGAACTTTTCATTAAATCAATAGCATCAACTTCATTTACATTCGGTGTTGGTTCTATTGGAGGTTCTGGACGTTGTTCAACAACACTTTGAATATATGGGTTTGTTGCTATTTCTTCATCAATGCCAATAGAGGGTAGTTCAGGGTTTTCGTAAAGATTAACCATCCTTTTTTGTGGTGGCATTGTTGCTTGATTGAAACCCTCTGGTTCTCTTTTCATTGGTTGTTGACTTAGGTATTGTTGATATTGAGCTGGTGGTTGTGGTAATTGTTGTAGTTGTTGTGGTGGGATTTGTTGGTAATACTGTTGTGGTGGTGGTTGAATAATTGGTTCAGGTGGGTTGATTTGTCTGATGATTGATTGAATAATTTATTTGGAAATGAACCGTGCCTGTGTTGAGGGAGTTGATAATATATTGTGTTAGTTGCTGATGACATCCATGATAAACGTCAACCACTTTCTCGTTTAATCCTGGACAAATGAACTGAAGATAAGTTCTAGTTGAGTCGTTCTTTACAATTGAGTCAATCACATACAAAACATATACCTGTTGTTCTGGGCTATGACCAAATCGAAGTAATGAGGTATTGATAATATCCACAATTTCTTGTGCTCGTGCGATACTCTGAATTGCAGTGAAAGTTAAGAATTGGATACGAGAAGAATCATTATCAATTTCTGATATAACGTTGTTGAAGATTGTGACAATATCCATTTGAGGATTCATCAATTGTTAAAAAGTAATTAGAGTGATCTTTTAATTAAAAGGTAAAAAATAATATAATATGATAAAACATATTATAAGAAAACTATTTAATTAAATATTCTTTTATTATATTTCAAACTTAAAAAAATTATCATTAATAGATATATTCATAACTTGATTTTATAATTATCTAGAACTGCTTGTTTTATCAGTTTAATACTACTCACTTCTATTCTGTTATTCATTTCTATCATATTTAATCATATTATTATTGTTTTCTAATATTCTATTATATTTGAATGTGTAAAACATTAGATTTTTTATCTTTGTAATAATGATTCCTCTTAGTGTCTTATTCAAATCTCTTTGTATTTTAATACCTGTGATAATCTTACTTATTAGTTGTATAGTAAATCATTTATCGTTAATATCATACTGATAATAGCTGCAATTTATTTGTTTGTTTTTGATTACTTTTTATTGACATTCTTTATATGTTTACTTTGTAAATACAATGGTACTTCTATCTTTCTATCTTGACATATATCAGCATCATTAATGTGTCTCTTTTTATTTCTCATGGTGTATTAAGATTTTTCCATTTGTTTTTGGTAGAAACATGTTCAACATAAAGCATTTATTGTATCTATGAAATTCCAAAAGATAGTATGTTCATTTGTGTTGGTTGTTGTTAGTTTACAAAAGCAATTTGATAAAAAAAGAGTGAGAAGAGAATGGAGAAAGACACATTAAAGAGAAATTAAGTTATATATTACAAAATATAGATTTGATGTAAATCTATAAAGGATAATTCTGAGATTTTATGAAATTTCCGAAAAGATGGTATAGTAAAAGAATAATAAAAAATAGAAAAAGAGAAAGAAAAAAAATTGTAAAAAAGAAAAGAAAAAAGAATTAAAAGGGAAAAGATATGGAGGAAAGTCCAATTTATATTACTGATTTTCATATCACAGAAGACTCAAAGCCAATTCAAATCATTAATAAAGACTCTAATGGAATTTGCTATTTCATTATTCCATCAAAATCAAATAATCAAATATACCAAATAAATAATTCAGATACTCAACCATTTGAACAAATCAACATTTCTCAAACTCAACTTAAAGACAATGGAGAAAATAAATCATTATTTGAACGAATTTTTACAAGTTCAATATCCAAACATGACAACAATGAGACGATTATTCATCATTTTGTTAGGTTTCAAACACCAAAACAAAATATTGTTGCATATTGTTATGATGAAAAAATATTATTTATTAATACTTCACGACAAATTAGTAAAGTTCATTTATTAGAGAAGTTAAGGCAATTAGCAATTGTAGGAAAACATATTATTTGTTTGTATCATGGGTCAGTTCAAATGTTAGATTTCAATGGATCAACAGTTTCTTGTGAAAGATTTCCAAAACCAACATTTTCAAGTATATTTAAATATTTAGTATTTAATACATACCTCTCTATTGGAGGGAAATTTACATTAACAGTCCTTTCTCTCAGTGATTATATTCGTCCATTTCGCAGTATTGTAATAGAAAATCCTAATGTATCTAAAGTTAAAAGTACAACAGTACCTATATTTCAAATCATTGAAATTTATGGTGCTATTGTTTGTTTTGTTTATTTTCCATTTAGTCAAATTGCATCTTTTCTTATTATTGATAATACTAAAAGAATAAATAAACGAGGACTAGATCATATTGATGTAGAAGTTCAAGCATCAATGAATTATATAGTCTTTGTTGTAGATAATTTAGTATTATTAACAAATAGAAAGCAAGTATCATTATATGATTTTCATAATAAAGAATATTGTATTTTACAAAATGCTAAATGTTCATTTGAAATGAAAGACTCTATTGAAAATAATATTTATAATCAACGTTTTCTTATTGATCAAAGCAATGGATGTATTAGGAAATTCAATTTAGAATATTATTTGTATTATAAAATTGTTGAACAAAAAATGAGTATAAGTCATAATAAACAAACAATTAAATCAGTCAGAAATCTTCTAAGAAGAAATGGAGCAGGGTCAATAGCAATTGATGTATTAAGTCAAATGATTGATTTACGTTATGATCTTTCTTTTATGTCAAAAGTGTTAGTAGCTATCCTCCGAATGAATAAAAAGAAAGAACAATGTGCTATTGATTTAGATAAACTTAAATATCAAATTTTATTAAACCTTCCTATTGATGGAGAATATGAAATAGTTCAATATTCTATTGATTTAATGTTAGAATATATTCAAGTCTGGCTTGCTTCAAATGAACATCCAGAAGTTGCAGTTTTATTAAGATTAATAGAAGCATTAGATAAAATTAAACAATACTCTATCCTTCTTAATCTTATTACATTTGGAGTCTTTCCTGATAATGAAATTATTGCAACTCAAATTATTTTTTTAAAAAATAAATATAATGGTGTGTTTCAATTAGGACTTGACATGTTAAAAAGACTAGAAAAACATCAAACAATTTGTTATTGTCTAAATTATTTTGGAATGCAAGAAGAAGCTAGAAGATATGCTTTTCAACATAAAGTAAATTGGTCCTCAGTAGTAGGTTCTTCAAATAAATTTGACAATGTATTATTTGATTATCAATTACATCAATTAGATCAACCAGACATTTATTTTGTTCCAACAACACCAATGTTATCAAGGTCTCAAACTTCATTGTCATTGTCTACTCCAAAAATGTAAATGTTTTTCACAACACTAAAACTATATTTTTTTATGTTTATTTTTCAATAATAAACAAACAATTCTTTTGTATTAAATTACTTTAAATTAATCTTCTTCCATTTGTCCATGCTTTTGATATTCTTCTATATTGTAATGATCATAATATAAATCATAACAATCATTTCTTGATATTAATCTCCATCCATCTTTATCTATGAAGATTACATTTACATTTCCTCCTGATGCAACATCACGATGTGTAGCATGAAAAATTGCTCGACGTGCTAACTCAATAGCTTTTTCTTTTGGCATATTATAATCATATTCAGAATCAATAAGAGATACAGCATATGGTGATCCACTTCCAACAGAAAACAAATGTCCTGGGATTCTAACTCCTCCATCTTCTACATAAAAAATGTGAGGTCCTGTTTTATCATATCCACAAATCATTGATCCAACACTTAAATTATAATTACGATATTGATACAATATATTTGCTAACATCTTTGATGCTGCTGCAACACTAATTGGTGGTTTATTTCTTAACTCAAATAATCGGCATTGTCTTGTTAATTCTCGTTCCCAATATGCACAATCTGCTGCACCTCCTGCCATTGTACCAATTATATGACTAGTAATAGGAATATATTTTTGTACACTACCAGATGAAATAAAAGCACCACGAGTGGCTCTTGAATCAACAGCAACAATAATTCCTTCTTTAATAATCATTGAAAGAGTAGTTGTTCCATGTTTATGTTCAGTAAGTGCCTTAGGTAGACTTAACTCTTTACAGGGTAAAATCACTCTTTCCTTTTTAGTTTCTTTTTGTTTATTTAAATCCTTAATAAGGCTTTCCATACTTATTTAATGGTTAATTTGTTTTAAGTTCTTTTTCTTTTTTTCTCTTGAAGTTTTTATCATTTTTATTTTTTCTTTAATAACATAAAATAAACTCAATAACACAAAAATTACATTCTTGTTAAACATGACTTGCTGATCGTTCAATTTGTTGTTGTGCATCTTTTAATTTGGTAATCAAATCTTCCATTTCTTCATGTGTGCAAACAAAGTCAAGTTTCCCCTCATTGTTTTGTTCTTTTGTTTTAAGTGTAACAAGAAAGACAGGACTAATTTCTTTATGCTCAGGACGAACAAAAAAGTCTAATTTCCAACTCACTCCTATAATCTTTGTTAATATTGTTGTTGTTTCTTTTAAGATATTCCTAAGCACCTCCTTATGCAAATCATATATCTCTGCTAAAACACTTCTTTTCTGTTTATTCCCAATTTCGTTTGCTTCTAATACTTCCATAAATTGATCCTTTTCAATATCATTTTTTGCTCCTTCCAAAAAGACAAGGCAAATACACTCATATAATGTATCACTTCTACTATCCATTTCATCTCCATTACAAATTTCTTGCACAATATTTTCACATTGTGTTTTTAATTGGTCTTCAGAAAGAACAGTAAGTTCTTGATTTAATTCTTTACAAACACCATCAGGTATTTCCATTTAATAAACTGAAAATAAATAAAAAAGTTCATCATCCTTTTTTGAAATTTCTTTCTTTAAATTATCTTCTATCTCGTTTTAATTTGTTTATATCTACCAATCAAGAATGAATTGTCTGTCTTTAAATTAAACCACATACACAAAAATGAACAAAACCTATGTAAGACATTAAATCTTTTATTAATTCAAAATTTTTAAGAATTTGTTGATAAATAAATGTTTAGTACGTTGGTTGGTATTCCGACTAAAAGTTTCAATTAATGAAGTTGGTGTATGTACTTATTATTTTATTTAATGAAAAAGTAATATTATTGATTTAGAGAAAAGTATTATTATTCATATTGTCAGAAATAAAAACTAACAATACAAAAATTAATTATACCAATGCAAATATTGACATAACTTATTAAAAAAATTTAATTGTTTATAATATAATTATTCAAAAATTATATATTAAAATTATTACTTAGTTTCTTTTTACATTACTAAGTATCAGTATTTATGCTTAATTCTGAATCTTTTTTATCAGTTATAAATACTCAGAAAGAGATAGTAATGTTATTATATAATCATTGGTAGACTGACTATATGATAATATAATAATTAAAAAAAAAGTATTAAATGAGATTAATATAATAGAATAGTATAATTACTATAATTATATATATCAATTGGATATATTAGTTCAAGTCTAATCTATCCAAATAAACTCAAATTAAATAAATTAAATATAAAAGAGATATTTTTTATGTTTTCAAAAATGACAGAAAGTATGGTATTAGATATTATTAAAAGAAGAAGAATAGAAAAAGACAAATAAAAATAGTTGAAGAAAGAAAAATGGTAGAGAAAATTGTATTTTTAGATTAGTTAAATTTTTCAAAAAAATCTGAACTTGAAATAAGTAAAAATGTCTTATTTCCAGAAACTTGTACAGCATGGAAGTTATAATATTCTTAGTAAATTCTATAATCAAATAGGTCATGAAGATGAACAAAAACCAATATTTGTTGGTGGATGTTCATTTTATATTCTTGGAGTTGAATTTAAAACTAAACAAATGGATAAACAATTAGCAGAACAACCACCAGAAGTTTATCTTCAGTACAGTTCAGCGGCAACATTTTTTCGAATATCAAATTTATTTTGGATGACATACCGTTCAGGGTATGAGAAATTACCAAATTCATCATTAACAACAGATGTAGGATGGGGGTGTACTATTCGTGCTATGCAAATGATGATAGCCAATGCAATGGAAACAATCGTATATTCTGGTGCTCTTAATAATACACAAACACCATACATACCAACAAAACAAGAGGTAATGAATGTATTAATTCCATTTATTGATTCACCTAATTCAACAACTCCATTATCAATTCATCATGTTTATGAATCTCGTTTTGTAGTAGAAAAAAATAAATCTGGAGTAAATTATTTAGCTCCATCAGTTGTTGCAAAAGCTTATTCGTTTGTTGTTATTCATTAGATAAACAAAAATTAGTTATTTACTTATTAGAGGTCTTGTTAATTCATGGAAATTATGTCCTATTAGATGTGTTATGTGTTCAAATGTTTCAATACCAACTCATGAATTAAGTAAACTTCCTTTTAAACCAACTCTTGTATTTCTTCCTATTGTATTAAATCATTTAATTCATTCTAAATTACAACAAATTTATAAATCAAAATTGTTTGCTGGTATTGTTGGTGGAATGGGAGACAGAGCAATTTTTGTTTTTGGATTTCATGCATTACAGTTTCTTTATCTTGACCCACATATTGTACAACCATCATTTAAATCATTTACTGAAATAGATACAAAGTCTTATTCTCCAATTGGTACAAATAGATTTAGTGTTCATACAATAGACCCAACTAAATTAGATGATTTTTGTACTTTCGGATTTCTTATTAAAAATCTTCACGAGGTTGATGATTTTATGAAATTGGCAAAAGACGTTTTTGAAATATCAAATGATAAAGAATTGAGAACTTCTCACGATTTAAATGGTTTTGAAGTATTAGATTTTTAGTTGTTGTTTAATTTAGTTCATGAAAAATATTCTATTGAAATTATTTTTGTTATATAAACAACAAAATTATATTCATACAACAAAATTTAAAAGTATAACAAAATAAACTTTCAATTTTTTAATTAAAAAAATAATAAAAACAAAATACATATAATTTATTATCCACAACCTATCTGAAGAAAATTTTAAAAGTCTATTCAATAACTTAAAGACAAACAATAAATTTATTTTTATTTGTATCGATTGAAAGAATTTATTTTGGTGATGTGTATTTTAATTCTAATAATCTAATTTGAAAATTTTTTTATAAATCTTTTTATCATAAAAAAGTGTTATATTTCTTTTTGTTTTCATATTATTTATAAGAAGTTGTTATTGTATCAAATTGATTTTAACTATGAAAGAAAATTTTTTAGAAAATATTGGATAAGATAAAAAATATTTTATTAAGAAAATGAATGAATTATTTTATTTTTTTCTAAATAAAAAAACTGCTTTAATACCATTTTTTACAAAAACTTTTCTCATATAAATTGAATGAAAAAGTGATTTGTTGGAGAGTTGTAAGAGTTGAAAACCAATAAAATAAAAATGTTATTATAAAGATTTACAAATGTGTTGATTCTTTTTTTTAAATAATTAATATTATGCTAATTTTCATTATATAATATGCGATAAAAACAAGTTAAATAACGAAGGATTTATTAGTATTAATATTCATTTTTTAAAAGAGGAGTTTATTTTGTTGTTCAGTTTTGATACAAAAAAAAAACAGAAGAAATAAAAAACTAAAAATAGATATCTCTGTAATTTTTAATGAAAAAACGAAAAAAGAGGAGGTGAAAGAACTTCAAAAAAAAAAGAACTTAAAAGAAACAGAATAAAAAAAGAACTTAAAAGAAACAGAATAAAAAAAGAGTTAAGATGGGAAAAGATTATGTTAAATCTGTTTCAAAAGAAATTGATAGATTTATTGGATTAAAATATGATATGCCAAATAAAGTAGAAGCTATTACTGATAGAATAAGAACAAATTATAAGAAATTTTCAGTTATTTATACTACATTTGCTATTCTTGCATTCTTTATAGCTACTTTAATTACAAAAGAATTTTATGCAGTATTTATTGCTTTTACTCTCTTCTGTCTTATTTCTGTTGTTGTTGGAGAAGTTAAACCAAAAGTTCCAATTGGAGATAAAAAATATAAAATTGAAAAGGAATATGCCTATGTTGTTACTGTTTTAATTACTTTATGTGTTGCTTATTACACTAATACTATTCCAACTCTTTCAAAAACAACAATTTTTACAGTTATTCTTTTAACTATTCATTCAGTTTTTGCACATCTTTCAATTGTTGAAACTGCTACTCACTAATTGAATTGTTTGGACGTTATAAGAATTCTTTTTTTTTATATTTTTTAGTTTTCTTTTTTCTTTGAAAACTCCAAAATATTTGTTAAAATGGCACAAGAACAGCAACAACTAATAAATGAAAATATTTTAGAATCTCAGAAGATTTCTACAGAAAATGATGACCAACTTATCAAACAACCCCCTCTTTCAGAACCTACTGAAGAAACAGAAGTTTCTCCAATAGATAAAGAAGTTAATAATTTTATTAGAGAGTTTAATGAGTGGAATACAACTATTGGAAAAGACTTTTCTCAAATTGATATTTTTGTTAAGAAGATAAAAGAAATGATTGATGAAATAAAACACAAACAAGAAGGTTTGTTATATATCCCAATTATTAATTTTATTATTAAATAATTTATTTATATTACAGAAACAGGAAATTATCCAACTACCTCTGAACATTTAACTAATTTATTAACAATATCATTAATTTTAAACTCATACAAAACAACTTCTATAAAGTCAGAATAAATAATTAATATTTTTTTTTATAATAACATTAAAATTTCAATTATTCAGTGAAAGTAGTTATTTCATTTCAACTATAATAATATGTTTTGGACAAAAATATTCATCTTTTCCTCTTAGGGCATTTTTCATACCTTTGTAATTGAATGATTTCTGGTGACAATTAGAAACAGACTTCCTTGATTTATTATAAACGTCTATATCAATATGACCAAATGCAAATAAATATCCAAATGTCTCATTCTTTTTTGGAATCCAAAATGCATATTCTGGTTCTATAATATCAAATTTCATCATTCCTTCAATTCTTCCATTTGATTCTAATGAAAATACAAATGACTTTGAATCATATATCCATTCATCAACTTTATCAATTTTCTCATTAACATATCCTCCAAATTTATTTCCTTCTTCATCTTCAATAATAATTATTATATGTTCTTTATTCATTATTCTTTCTCCAAATACTGATGTATTAATACTCCAATCATCAATATCTGAATCAAATAATATATTGAATACTTTTCTATTTGTCCATTCTTCTATTTGTTCAATTTGATATTTTTGTATTGACATTCCTCTCATTCTTTGAAATCTCTCTTCTTCTTGTATCTTCCTTTCTTTTGTTTCAGATTCTTCTCTCTTCTTTCTTTCTAAATAATCACTGTAATATGTTTGCCATTCTTCTTTCTTCTTATTAAATTCTGCTGTGATTTTATCTGTTTCTTCTGGTTTTCTGAATACTTTATCTCTCATTATCATTTCTTCAATTGAAATAATTTTATCTATTAGTTCATTCCGTGTTTTACTCAGTATTTCTTCATCTGATTTACATTCTTCTATGATTCTTGACATTTTATTCTTCATTATTTCTATTTGATTGATTGTTTCTTGGCTTTTTTCTATCACTAATTTTCTTCTTCTTTCTGTTTCATCAATCCTATCAAATATTCCTTCTCCTCTTTTAATTGCCTGTTCATATGTTTCATCAGACTTTATTTCAAATACTTCATTTTTAATACTTCCTAAATAATATTGATAATTCTTAGTAGTATCATCAATTGATTGTTGAATGTTTGGAAGTGTTTCTACTAATTCTTTATACAATTGATTGTTTTTGTTTTGTTTCATTTCTTACACAATGAAATGAATAAAGAAGTTTGGTTGTTTTTATTTTATGTTTTCAAAAACAAAATATATTTATTACACAAACTTCATGGTATCATACAACAGATAGTTTTTTGTCATTATTTAATTTAATGATAAACAAATATTCGTTTAATAAAATTATCTCAAATGTTTAAACATCATTATATTTTCAAAATATTTAATAAAAAATAATAAAGAAAGAGTGTAAGTACTACGTATAATAACGTAAATTTTTTGATTAAATTATGGTGATTTACAGATGATGTGTAAAAGTCATTACTCAAGTCATAATAATAAGTGATACAGATAATAGTATTAAAGAAATAACCTAAGTGAACATATTCGAATGATGTTCAAATAACATTGGTAATAAGCAAAATCAAAGATTTTTAATAAAAATGGAAATGTATTGAAATGAAAAAATGTTTTTACAATGAATTATTTTATCTATAGCTTTGTTTTTTTATTATAACTTTTTATTTAATACGTTTAATTCAATGTATTATATTCTTATTTCCTTGTTTTATTTCCTAAAGTAGTTTGTGCAGGTATTGAAGATATGTTTAATACTAAAAAAATATCAAAAATCTTTCATGAAAAACTGTTGATATTCAAGCAAAAACACATTTTCCTCAATTTTTATGTTTATAAAACAGTTATTATGTTTCATATCATTACTAACGATGACAAAAAAAATGAAATAAAATTTACCCCAAAAAACTTTTTCTCGATAACTTGTTATAAGATATGAATTATTTGAGAAGGAAATAAAAAAAAGGATAATCTCCTTAGAAAATTCATTTTAATAAGTCTAAAATAGTCTTGGTCAAAGATAATAACAAAATTATATTAAAATGAATGAAAATAAGTAATTTATTGATGAGACTGCTCTCCGAAAATGAATAAAGGAGCAAACTCGAAAGGGTCTTGACCAGTATCACTTCTTCTAATAGGAACAGGGACAATAGGAATATTAACATTTGAAGGTTCGTGTACAATAGCTGTTTCTTTAAAAATATTATTATTATATCGGTCTTCTAATTTAACAGAACCAACGTCATTAGGTTTGAATCTTTCATTACGTTGGAGTCTAAACTCTTGAAGTGGTGTTCTATTCATTCTAGCGTTACAAGAATCAAATCTCCTTCTTACAGTAGTTAAACCATTTTCAAAGAAATCATCTCCTTCATGTATTTCTTGAACAATTTTCATTGGACTAATGCCATTTGAACGAGGGGTGTGAGGTTGTTTTAGTTGTGCACGATAAGGATTTTCTTGATTTCGTAATAATGAAGAACGTCTTCTTGTAATACGAGAACCACTTCCACTTCGTTCTCTTTTATGAATATTTTCAAATGCTTTTCTGAAAGAATCAGGAGTCATAGGGGGTAATTGGAATGGATTAGGACATGTGATATTGACAACTTCACCCATTTGTAATGCAGACGTACAAATATCATAATATTCTGCAGTATTTAAACCATGTAATGTTATGTCATTTCCAAAACATTTCTTTGCAAATTCATCACTTGTTATTCCAGAGAGAATATCATCTTCAGGGGGTCGTGGTTGAGATGCAGATAAAGGAGGTTCCCAATGTCCAGTAAATTGTTGACCAGTTAAGAAAGGATGATATAATGCTTGAGAAGGAGTCCAACGTTTCATTGGATCATATTGAAGCATACCTTCAATAAAGTGAATAAGAGACAGTCTAATTTCTGTTAAATTAGTAATTTCTTCTTTCATTCCACCTCCAAGTTTTAAAGGGATTCTCATAATTAATTCTTTTAATGTTTTAAATCTAAAATATTTTTTATTTGGTTCTAATCGAATTCTATTTTCCATTTCATATTCAAATGGTTGCTTCATAATATAATGAGCATTTTCATCATATCCTAGTTTATTAAAATAACATAAAGTTTTTGATCCTTGTTCTAAGATATTTTTTGGTGGTAATCCTAACATATCAGTTATTTTAAATAATTGATTAAATTCACTACTTCCTGGAAATAATGGAATTCCTAATACTAATTCTGCTGCAATACATCCTGCACTCCACATGTCAATAGCATTATTATAAGGAAGTCCAAGAATAATTTCTGGTGCACGATAATGTCTTGATTGAACATATGTATATAAAGTATAATTGTCAAAACAAGCAGAACCAAAATCTATCACTTTAATTCCATTTGTTGTTTGGTCAAATACTAAATTTTCTGGTTTAATATCACAATGAACAATACGTGCATTATATAACCCATCAAGACATTCAAGTAATTGTGTCATAAATTTTTTTACTTTTATAATATTAAGTCCATGATATTCATTCTTTTGTAACATTTGATAAAGGTTTGTTCTATTAAATTAATTTTCTTTATTAATTTGATAGTAAATAAAAAAAAAGTTAAACAAACCCAAGTAATTCAAATACAATACATAAATGATTACAATAAAGAAAATGATCAAGCATTCTAACTGTATTTTTTGTTCCATCTTTATCATATATATCATTTAACTATATTAAATAATTATTTATTATTAAGTATTGTTAAAAATTATATTAAACAAACCATAGATAAGATTGATATTTCTAACATTCCTTGTCTAAAATATGTTCCTTTTGATTTTAAAATTTTGATAGCAACTTCCCTTTCTTTACTTAAATCTTTTGCTTTAAATACTTGTCCAAACATACCATTTCCTAATCTATTAAGAATTTGATATCGTGAAACTGTTTCAGGGTTTGCTGAATAATATCTTCCTTCATAACTAGTTGCACTTCCAAGTATGTCTCCTTCTTTAATAATAAGATCATATTCTTCATTGTCAAATCCTGAATTTGTAGTATTTTCTGTAATTTCATTAAGTATTATTGGTGTTTTATTTGTATATAAACTGTGTTGTGTTGGATAAATATGCCAATATGTTTCTCTAATTCTTCCTGTCAATTGTTTTGTCAAAGCTCTTGTATCAGGTTTATGACGAATGTTTTCTGTTGAACCTTCCTCAATATATATGTTAAACCAAGAAGGGGAGAGATGATGACTTTTCATGCAACTATCTTTTCAAGATGCAACAGAAAGAACAAAAAGAAATAGAACTTTCCAATCATTTATTTCTTTTTCTTACCGTTATAACATTTTTGTGATTTTTAAATCATTAACACAAAACTTCTATCAAAACAAAACTTCTTCAATTATTTATTATTCTTCATTCTTATTAGAATCAATATTAATTTTTTATTGCTTCAAACCATATTGCTGTATATTTACTTTGTAATAATGAATGTTCAGAATAACAATAGGTACATGGGATAAGACGTTCTGAAATAATAGTAAATCCTAATGAAGAGATAATATATTTAATTTCTTCCCAATTTAATTCTATTGAAAGAGAATCACTGTCTTTATAATGATATAATAATGGTCCTTCATTAATCCATCTTCCATGTAATTTAAGGCATGAATAAATAATTCTTAAATAATCAATAATATTATGTGCAGTATCAATAAAAAAACATGTCACAATACAATCAAAAGATTCTTTTTGTTTTGAATATATCTCAACAAAATCACCTGCTACCATTGACATTTGATGATTCCCTAAGTTTGGAACAATATCAGGAATTGTAGCTACACTTGCTTGATCATTAAATGATAATAAATTACATGTTTCCATTATCCACGGAAATATTTTAAATTGACCTATTCTTTCTATTCCATTTAAAAGAAATTCACTTGTTAATAACATATAATAGGTAAATTCATTCCCTTCACATTGAAATCCTAATGATGCAATTTCATATGCTAATCTTCCTAATCCTGCTCCAGGAACAAGTATTTTAATATTATTTCTATTGTCTTGATATAATTCTTTTAGTCTATGAAGAATTGGTTCATAACAGAGTTTTCTTTCATTTATTCCTTCAATACTCCAGTCTCTATATAAATGAGTTAACATTGAACGAACTTTATCTAATTTTTGACAAAGTTCATTTCGTTCATTGTCACTTATAGAAAGAATTAAATTATGTTTTTGTTCTTCAGAAAGAATAGGAAAATGTAAATGAGTGATTATATCTTCTTGATTTCTGATAATTGCATCAAAAATCATTTGATTTGCATGTAATCCACATAATATTAAATTCCATTTCTGATGGTAATTCGGTAATAATTTTTTATCTTCTTCTTTGAGACTTTTAAACATTGATAATTGGTAAACAACCCATTGTTTACCAAACTCTTCATATAATTGAAAAGCTTGAACTACAGATAAAAGATAGGTATGTTCTTCATCTAATTCCTTTTGGTTCATAGATTCGATAGTTTCAAGTTGATTTTAATAATATTTATTAAAGGAAAGAAAAAACAAAAAAAAAACTAAAACAAAATAAAATAAAATAAAAAAAACAAAATAAAAAGTGAAGAAGAACTATTAAAAAAAATAAACTGGATGGGTTTCTTTAAAACACTTGTTCAACTCATTCTAAAAAATATAGGTATTACTCTTATTTGTATAATTGCATTTAGTTCTAGATTATATTCTATTATTATGTATGAAGCAATTATTCATGAATTTGATCCATATTTTAATTTCAGAGCAACAAAATATCTTGTAGAACATGGACCAACAGCATTTATGAATTGGTTTGATCCAGATAGTTGGTATCCATTAGGAAGAAATATTGGTACAACTGTTTTTCCAGGATTAATGTTTACATCAGCATTTATATTTAAATTTTTAGCATATTTCAATTTAATCATTGATGTAAGATTAATTTGTGTTTGTATGGGACCAATTTATAGTGTAATAACATGTATTGTTGCATATTTATTTGGATCACGTGTACATTCAGATAGAGCAGGATTATTTGCAGCTGCATTAATTTCAGTAGTACCAGGTTATATGTCAAGAAGTGTTGCAGGAAGTTATGATTATGAATGTATTTCAATTACAATATTAATATTAACATTTTATCTTTGGATAGAAGCTGTTCATAATAATTCACCAATATTAAGTGCAGTAACAGCATTATCATATTTTTATATGGCATCAACATGGGGAGCATATGTTTTTATTAATAATATTATTCCATTACATGTTCTTATTTCTATTTTCTGTGGATTTTATAATAAAAAATTATATAGTTGTTATTCTATTTATTATATATTTGCAACTATTTTATCTATGCAAGTTCCATTTATTAATTATGTTCCAATTCGTTCTTCTGAACATATTGGAGCAATGGGAGTATTTGGAATTTGTCAATTAATTGAATTATATTCATTAATACATAAACTTCTTGGACAAAAGAAAACAGTAGAATTAATTAAGAAAGTATTAATGGGAAGTGTTATTATTGGAATTATAATGGTATTAATACTCATTAAAAAAGGATATATTAGTGCTTGGTCTGGTAGATTTTATGCATTATTTGATCCAACTTTTGCAAAGAAAAATATTCCATTAATTGTATCTGTATCAGAACATCAACCAGCAAATTGGGCATCATATTTCTTTGATCTTCATTGTTTAATAGTAATAGCACCAGCAGGATTATATTATTGTTTTAAAAAATTTGATTTTAATATGTTATTCCTCATTATTTATTCTGTTTCAGTCTTTTATTTTAGTTGTGTTATGTCAAGACTTGTATTAATTTTAGCACCTGCTATTTGTTTACTTAGTGGTATTGCTCTTGCAGAATTCTTTACTCAAATACAAAAACAATTAGAAAGTACATTAAAAATGGTATTTAAATCAAATAAAAAACAACAACAACAACAATCAAATGAACCAACAACTAAAATTGAAAAAGAAAAAAGAAAAATTCATCCACCAAAAAAAGAACAAAACAATGAAAAATCATTTATAAGTGAATTTATAATATTTATTATTATGACTATTGTTGGTATATTATTAATTATCTTTTTATTTAAATTCTTTGAATATTCTATTCAAATGTCTAAAAACTATTCATCTCCATCAGTTGTTTTATATGGTAATCATGGTGGAAAACAAATTGCTTTTGATGATTATAGAGAAGCTTATAGATGGTTAGCACATAATACTCCAGAAGGATCAAGAGTTATGAGTTGGTGGGATTATGGTTATCAAATAAGTCATCTTGCAAATCGAACAGTTATAGTTGATAATAATACATGGAATAATAGTCATATTGCATTAACAGGAAATGTAATGGCATCAAGAGAAGAAGATGCAATGAAAACAATTAGAGATTTAGATGTTGATTATTTATTAGTAGTTTTTGGTGGATATCTTGGATATTCATCAGATGATATTAATAAATTCTTATGGATGATTAGAATTGGTGCAGGTGTTAATCCTTCTTTAAATGAAAATAATTATTATAACCATAATGCTTACACTGTAGCTGATCCTTCTGATACATTTAAATATAGTATGATGTATAAAATGTGTTATCATAATTTCTATAAGGCTTCTAATGGTTATCGTGCTGGAATGGATGCCGTTAGAAGAGAAGTTATTGAAGAACAAACTTATTTCAAAAATATTCAAGAGGCTTTCACTTCTCAACATTGGGTCGTCAGAATTTATAAAGTAAATAAACCAAATCCAATTGATTCATTACTTTAATCCTTTCTTCATCTAATTAAGAAATTAAATTCCTCATTTTTTAAGTTCTTTTTATTAAAAACGTCAAAGTTCTTTTATTTCAAAAGATAATTTTGTTTTACTATCTTTAATTAAAACTAAAATTTGTTTTTAAGTTTTAATAAAAAATATTCATAAAAAAAACATTGAAAAAAAAAAATGAAAATATACAAAAAGACAACATCTGGAAAATCACTTTCATGTCATTTTTTAGTGAATCCAATCTTGATCGTATGATCGAGAATCTCCTTAATATGAATCTTATTCCTGAAGACGCTTTACGTGCATTGTGTGATAAAGCTAAAGAAATATTATTAAATGAACCAAACGTTATTAAAATTGATTATCCAGTTACAGTTTGTGGAGATCTTCATGGACAATTTCCAGATGTAAAAGAAGTATTTAACATTGGAGGAAAATTACCAGATACAAATTATTTGTTTTTAGGAGATTTTGTTGATCGAGGGTTTCATTCAATTGAAACTGCATCATTAATGGTTGCACTTAAAGTTAGATATCCTAACCGAGTTCATTTATTACGAGGAAATCATGAAAGTAGACAAATTACTCAAATATATGGATTTTATGATGAATGTATGAAGAAATATGGAAGTAGTGATGCATGGCAAATATTAACTAACTTATTTGATTGTCTTCCATTATCTGCACTTATTGACCAAAGATATTTTTGTGTTCATGGAGGTCTTTCTCCTTCATTAAAAAAAGTTGATCAAATTTCTATGTTAAATAGAGTTCGTGAAGTCCCACATGAAGGACCAATGTGTGATTTGTTATGGTCTGATCCTGAAGAAAAAGCAGGATGGGAACAAAGTCCCCGTGGGGCTGGATTTATTTTTGGTAAAGATGCATCTGATCAATTCAACCAAATTAATGGCACTGAAATTATTGTTCGAGCACATCAAATGGTTATGGAAGGATATCAATGGAATCATAATAAAACTGTTGTTACAATCTTTTCTGCTCCAAATTATTGTTATAAATGTAATAATCTAGCTGCAATTATGGAACTATCAGACACTGGAGAATATTCATTCTCTCAATTTTCTCCTGCACCTTCTCAAGATGAGTTTCCAAATACTAAACATGTTCCTTCTTTCTTATTTGAATAAATTTAACAATTACAACCAACATTATATTTTCGATATTGAATATTTTTTGAATAGTCTTATTTCAATACTTTGAAAATTCATTTAGTTGTTATTTTTTTATTCTTTGATAGTAAATGAAAGGATAAATAAAAAAGTCTAAGTTATATGCTGTGATTCTTTGAATTGTGTTTTGGTCTTCAAGTATTATGAAATTTGAATAACCTTCATAACAATCACTGCTCTTTTCAAAATGAAGATGTAATTCATCTGACCCTTTAGTTTTAGCAACTGCAAACGCCTCATTAAATTTAAAGAGTATATCTGTGTCAGGATTAGAATTATTACTAAATGCCTTAATAAATCCTTTTATTATCTTTCCCTTTGATTTAATTTGGAGAGTCTTTTTATTCTTTTCTTTACAAAATAGTACTGACTTGTCATTATGAATAATTCCACCATAAACACTGTTGCTATCTTTTATGTGGATGAAAACAGCAAGAGAATTGTTTTTATTAAAGTTGTTGACAGAAGAATCATTAAATTTTAAAATGTCATTTTTATGATTGTCTAATTCATACTGATAAAATACATCTCCTAGTTTATGTGAATTTTTCATTGTATTTTCATCAAAAATATCTTTTACTACTTCATCATCTTCTTTTGTTGATTCATCATCTTCTTCTACTTCATCATCATCTTCTACTTCATTGTCTTCTTCTACTTCATTGTCTTCTTTTCTATTATCTAGTTCATCAAAAAAATCTTTGCCATCATCTTTTATTGACAGTTCATTCTTTTTTTCTGGAGGTTCTTCTTTAAGGTGATTGTTAATACTTTCATTTGTAGTTCTATCATTTGGTTGTTTGCCCTCGCTCATTACATGTTTTGTGTCATGACGTATAACTGGCTTGTTATGAGGAAACAGAAATTTTACAAAAGGATCATCTATATTTTCTTTATGAAGCATCAGGATTACTGCTTTGAATGATTCTAGTAATACTCTATTAATTTCTGGAATAAGGTCATTAGCATTGCATTGTTCATCGATGTAATATTTGTTCATTATTTAATTTCAAGTTCGATTTTTTTAAATGAGATACGTCTTTATTAACATTAGTTACTATTTATTATTTATGACTTTCATTCAAACTGATTTTTATTATGTTGTGTTTTTTCTTACTCTTTCATTTCTTAAAACTATTATTATATTCTTTTATATTATTAGTATTTATTATTTCTTTATTATCCAAGTAAATTTAAGTCATAACCAATTCATGTGTCATATTTTTTTATTTTCATTTTTTGTATTTTTATTAATATTTTAAAGTATTATATAAATCAAGAGTCTAAATAATGTTTGAATGAAAACAATTGGAGTGTTACCTTAATTACATAAAATATGTCTTTCACTTATTTTCAAAACAAAAGGTCATTAAAAGATAGTTTATCAAAATCACCTAGTATTATTTTAAATAATAAGTAATTAATTAAGTATTAATAGAACTAACTTCTGTTGTTCCTACATCAGCGGAGACTAATCACATCCCTTAGTCTTCATCTTCAAACAGTTCTACGGAGTATGTTTGGTTGTGATAGAGGCAATATTCCATGACATCTATCATATTTTGTATTACATGGAGTTTTTAATTTCTTTTTCGATGTCGATCTCAATTTTTAATTCTTTAATTAATTTATTACTTTCTTTATTTATTAATCCATATTGAAATTACTACTGGAATTATTTTGACATCTTTTTACTTTTCTATTTTCATTAGAATATTCTTTAATTCATTGTACTTATTTCTTTTCTTCCAATACACTCAATTAATATTGTGATCAGCCACAATAGTCATATCAAATAATAGACTAGTTTTATTCTTTTTATCTATTACATATATATCTGGTATTTTGTGATATTGTCATTCACTTTTAGGCATTATTTGTTTGTTCATTATCATTGTGATGTCTTTATATTTGAACATTGTTTCATATGGAGGTTTTATATTGTTTATTTCCAGTGTATTTTCTTATTAATCCCTCCCATATTATTATGCCTATATGGTCACGTTTTTCCATTTGTGATTTATTATGATAAATACAAGATAGTAGAATGTGTTCTACTGTAGCTATCTTGTCTTTACATAGTGGGCAGTATTTCATTCTTTCATTTTTCATTATTTTTTGCTTTCTTATACCCACAAAATATTGCACCATCTTGCATTTTAGTTAATTGTAGGAATGCATTTTTCTTAATATTGATGGACTTCCATGCTTTCACTGTAGTAGTTTTATCTACTCCTTTTGACTCGAACCATCTTCTAAAATGTCACTTATTTGATGACACTTCCATTTTTTGATGTATTTGTCAATAATTTCTTTATTTCCACTACTACTTCTTTTTCTTTTTTCTTTTCAATATTTTCATTTATTATTTCTTCTATTTTTGTTTCATTTATTTTATGAATTATTGTTTTTAATTCTATTCCATATTCATTTCTTACTGTACCATCTATCTAATATGTTATTTCCTATTTCACTTTCTCTTGTACAGTAGTACATCACTGTTCTAACTAATTCAATTGATTAGTCAGCAAATATAAATATTAACTATTTGCTTAAATGTGGATTAAATTTGTTATTTTTACCAGTTTAATGTAATAAATTTATTATAACCGTGTTATAAATGATGTAGTTATACCTTATTCTATTATAGGGACTATTTTTTGTTTATTACAGACTATTAAATAATTAATATTATTTGATTATTTTTTTTTTTTTGAGTTATTGAATTTACTCATACCAACTTGTTCATGTGTTTCATCAATCACTATTTAACTTTTGATGTTTAATGGTTTTGTTCTTCGTAATTTATTTTATTTTTACATTTCTTGATTTTACTTTATGAGTTTTGCTTCTTTCCATTTATATTTTCTTAAATTTCTCTACTTCCATTGCAGATTATTCTTATTATCAACAGGTTCTATCATCACAATATTTAGCATATTATTATTCCATATTCTCAAAAAATAAAGAAATGCTCTATAAAATTTAAATATTGTTAAAGCTATTTATAAGAAAATGTAAGGATTTGCAGTATTTTTTAAGAGAAGACATGCTCATAATTTATTTTTTAAAACGAGTATTTTTGATATTTTTTGATTAACATTCGTTTTCATTTCAAATTGGTTGATAATTAAATAATTTCACAAGAAAAAGAATATTTAAAAAAGATAGAAAAAAAAAATAAATGTAATATATAACATATATTTTACAATAGAAAAAAAGAACTATTGAAACAAATCAATTAAAAACTAATGAGAGTCAAACTATTGGGTTATAATCGAATAGTTCAATTACTCCAATCCTTTTATGCATATCATACATATTTTACTATTGTGATGGCGTTATTAATAGGGTTTTTATGTTATGTTAATGAAATGGATCATGCACGACTAACAGTTATGGAAGCATTTTTTTTAGGAGTTTCAACGTCTACTGATACAGGGTTATTAACATTTGACTTTTCAATTGTTTGTTTTTCTTACTTTATAAATGAAAATAATTTAATCAAAACAGACAAAAATTAGTACTCAAATAATTGTAATGATTGGAGCAGAGTTATGTGGAGTATTTTTTGCATCAACATTAGTGCCTTCAGTGTGTAGATGGTATAGATTAAAACAAATTATTAAACAACAAGAATTATTAAATAGTGATAGTACAAATACATTAGTTGATTTTTCATCAAGTGAAAGTAGTGAAACAACAGATGAAACAAATGATGAAACGAATTTACAAGTATTTACAAGTGAAATAGAACCAATGCGATATGATTATAAATTAGAAATTAAATCATTAGAATATTTTATTTATATTTTATTATTCTATACAATATCATTTAAACTTATTGGATTTATTGTTATATTAATAACTTGTTATACTTCTAATGAAACTATAAATTTCTTAAATCAACAACAAATAAATCCAATTTGGTTTAGTTTATTTCAAACAATATCTTCATGGAATAATTTAGGAATGACTGTTAATCAAAATTCATTAAATCCATTAATTAATGTTCATTGTATAGTAATTACATCTGTATTTCTTAATATGACAGGAAATATAATGATTCCAATTATTACTAGAATGTTAACATTTATTGTTCATAGACTTTTTGAACAAAAATCAAAACATTGTTCAAAGCCACAACCATTATTATATATTTTAAAAGCACCTACTAGAATGTCATTATCTTTCTTCTCTTCTACACAAACAAAATTATTGTTTCTTGTTCAACTCTTTTTAATTCTTCTTCAAACTATTTTCTTTTCATTGTTTTATAATAAAAATGATCTTTCACCTCTTTATGTTGGATTTGTTAATTCATCTTTTACTCGTACTGCAGGATTTAGTATAATTAATGTTCGTGATTTAAGTCCACCTGTTATATTAACTTATATTTTATCAATGTATATTGCTGCTTATCCAACAGTAATTTTACGTCAATATCGTGATATTGAAGTAAATGCAAAAGCTGGTTTAATTCATATTCAATCAAATATTACTACTATTTTAAAATATGTAAAAAGTTTATTTTTCTCACATATAATGTTTGTTTATTCATTTCTTTAGTATATTCTATTTATTTATTAATTTTTAGTTGGTTTTATACAGCAACTTTAATAGTAATGGCTTTTTATTGTTCTGCTCATACAACTGGTGCAAATCAATTAATTGATGTAATGTTTGAAATTTCAAGTGCTTTTGGAACTGTGGGAATGTCATTAGGATCATCAAAAGATCCTTGTAGTTTTAGTGGAGATGTTCCAATCCCAGCACAATTAATTATATGCTTAGTTATGATATTAGGCAGACATAGAGGATTTCCAACTCACAGTTATCCATTAGATTATTATTCTTTTTGGAAAAAAGTTAATTCTTAATCAAATATATTTTTGATATTTTAAAATTTGATTCAAAATATTATTTTTGAAAATAGTTTAAAAGATATTAACCTCATTAAATTCCTTTTTGTATCCAAAAAAAAATATATAGAAAGAAAAACCATTTATAAATTAGTTTTAATGCATAACAAAATACCATACATCAAAGATTCTTCTATATAATTACCTTTTTGTTTATAAAAGACTACAGAATTTGAAAAACTAAGAATTATTAATAGAAATGGAAAGAGGTGATATTAATATAGTGGTAGATTCATTAGTTAATGAATTAATTTCATTAAAATCGGATTTTATAAATCGATATCAATCAGCTGAAATGAAATTAAATCAACTTAAAGAAATATTAAATACAATAAAAGAGAAAGATGATAAAATAATAGAAGAAAGAAAAGAAGAAAGAAATATTGAAAAAAGAATCAAAGATATTAATTATTGGAAAAATAATAAAGAATGTGAAATTATTTATGATAGTGATTATAATGGATTTAATAGAATTTTATTTAATAAAACAGTAATGAATAAAAACAATTTAATATTTCTTTTATTTATTAAAGAAAAAGTTTTTGGAATAAGTTTAAATAAACCAATTACTTTATTAAATCAATTTATTGAAGATGAATCAATGTATATTTTTACAATACAATTGGATGGAACATTAATGAAAATAAAGAAAAAAAGAACAACTGAAAGATGGAAAAATTCTATTGAATTATTTTCTACAGGTTCATTCCTTTTTTGTATTTCATGGGCATTTGGAATTACAAATTCAGGAACAAGTAGTTGGTTCCATGAAAAATTTAAAGATTATTATAACAACTCAGTGGAATTACCTGCTATTTTTGATGTGTCTCATATTCTTGTTTTTCAAAACAAAGTACTTTAATCAATTTTAAAAAAGTATTTTCTTTTCTATCAAATTCGTATTTTTATTTTTCTCTTTATTCTATTTTTGAAATTGTTTCTTTGATATTCTTGTTAAAAAGTATTTATGGTGATGTCATTTTTTTTTTTGGTTATTGTTCATTGAACAATTCAGATGAAATATTTATTTTAATAATAATTTTGAAATAAATTAAAATTAACACAAAAAAAAAATAAGAAAAAATTTAAAAAAAAACACAATACCTTGTTTGATTGGTGCTTTTTTATTGAAGTACTGTGGATATTTCTAATAAAACAAATTGAAATTAGAAAACAATTACAAAGAAATATGTATTAATAATGAAATTACTAAAACTAAAAATAAAAATAAAAAATAAATAAAACAAATCCATATCATCTAAATTGGATGATTTGTGTAATTAAAGACGGTTTTTATGTTTCTAAAATAAATCAACGCCATTTTAGACACATTGAAATAGAGAAACAAATAATAAAAATAACAACGTATATCAAAAAATATAACAAGATAATAATACACTATAATATTATTGAATATTTTAATAAATTTCATTTGGGAAAAGGTGTTACATTTCAAAAATACTTTCACTTTTATATCATCAGAATTATCTATTTTATATAAAAAAAAAATCAGTTGATCTCAAACATATTCAACTCAATGGAAGCTCAACAAATTAATTATGATATCAAAAGACTTTATAATACTACAATTCAATATTCACATCCTATGCTTATTCCAACAAGTTTAACTGGAAGTAATAGAGAGTCACTTTATATAGAATCACCTCCAATTATATTTAATAAAGAAATTAATATTATTCCACCTAAAAAACCAATTCTTTTATGTTTAGAAGAAACAAATAATAAAAAAAATACTACTCCTTTAACAGCTGTTCATCTTAGATGTTCAAGTATTTCATTCTTTACAACAGATTCAAAAAATAAAAGAATAGAATCATGGATATCTTCAACAAAAACACCACTTCAATATCCATATCCCTATCCTGGATTTAATTAATGTCATAAATCTCAAATCTATTTATCACTTCAACTTTGTCTGTTCTATATTTAGAATGTAAGTTTATTTATTTTTAGATATTTTATTTTTAAATATTCTAAAAAAGTTCATTTGAAATAAAAGAAAAGTGTTTTATATTTTATAAAAAAAAAAAGAATATGTTATATATTACATATTGAAAAAAAAACTGTTATTTTAAAAGCGTTACTTTTTGTAATTAAGTGTAAAAAAATTAAAACCCCATTCATTTTTGACAAGTGAAGAAACTTCAAATAAACTTCTATTATTTTTTTTAAGTAATTCTAAGAAGATTTTAATTCAGATAAAATTGTTCCAATGGGATTTTAGTTTTCGTATGAGAAAGTATTTTGGGTAAATTCTTAAAGAAACAAATAATGAATTTCTGAAAGAATGTTCAAAAATAAATAAAAAATTCAAAATAATTTACTTGATGTAATTCATTCAAACTCAAAGAATGAAAATGAATTTTCAATAATTATTGTTTTAGAACTATCCTATCATATTTAAACATCTTTGAAATTTTAAAGATTTTATAGATATTGAATTTATTGAAATGTCTACACATAGTTCAAGGATTGGAATTAGAAATATTGAAGATCATTCTCCATTATTGAAAATGGAATTAGTATTAAGTCCTATTGAATTATCTCCATTCCATTTTTTAAGTAAGTCATGTAATTCATCTTTAACTCATATTAGTTCTTCACCTCTTTCAAGTCCTGTTTTATCAAAACATGGAACAGAAGATTATATTAAAGAATTATTCTTACAACCTAACTCTCCTTTACTTTATGCTTATTGTCAAAGTGTTTGTTTTTTTTTAATTTTATATTCTTTCTTATTTTAATAATAAGAAGAATAATTGTATGGAAGAATAATAATTAGTTAATTCAACAATCATCAAATCCTACTTATTCAAAAGTTCTTTTATCTTATTTCTTTTATAGAGGTAAAATCGTTGATTTACTTTTTAAACTTGCTTCAACTGAAATTGAAAATTCATTCTCTTCAAATGAACTGTTTAGAAAAAATACTATTTTCTATAGAATTTATACTAATTATACAAATCTTTATTGTTCTGAATTTCTTATTAAAGTTAAAAAAGATTTTGATTCTTCTTCTCATCATTTACTTACAGACTTATCTTCTTCTATTCTTCATTGTCTTAAATTTCTTCCAACTCATTTTATTATCATTCTTTCAAAAATATTTCAAAAAATTACTTATATTCATGATGAAATACAAGCAAATAATGCTATTTGTACATTATTTTTTATTCATTATTTACTTCCTTTTTTTAAAAATTATTCTGATATTTCTCATTTAGGAATAATTGAAGCTAATGAAGCTGTAAATTATATGATAACTAAAACAGAAAAGTACCAACCAACTCAATTTAAAAATACTGTTATATTATTAACTCAATTATTCTCTTATTCTCCTTTAATGGTTGTAAGAGAATGTCAATTTAATCTAGCTGAACAAGAACGTACAAAAAGAAATATGTTACTGGTACTTAAAACTGAATTAAAAGAAATTGGTAATTATTACAGAGGTGACTTTTGTTCAGTATTTAATTGTATTAAAGGTTCTTCATTAAAAGAACAATCAATCTTATATTCTACAAACGAGTTTATTCATTGGTTAGAAGAAAGAGAACAACTAATACGTTATGAAAATAATAATCTCACTAATAAGATTATTGCATTAAAAAAAAGAAATGAAAGATTGAAACATCAAATCATAAAAATAAAAAAATTAATTTAATTCATGTTTCTATACATTATTTTAACATTATTATTATTATTCTTTTTTTACTTATAATAATAATTAATTTAATAATGTTTATTTTCCTATCTTATTTATTTCATTATCAAATGTAATTGTATTTTTTTTTATTCTACTTTATTCATATCATTTAATTTCCTTACAATATTCATTTTTTTTTTTCTTATTTAAATAATAAATAAATAATCAAAGGAAATTATTAAGAATTAAAAAGAATAATAAAAATTCCTTCTTTTTTCTTTTAGAACTTAATTCTAAATTTTTAGATAATGTTTTTCTTATTATTCTATTGTATTTTTTCTACATTAGCTGGAAATGGAGTGAATGTAAAAGATCAACTTTTGCTAGTACCATATCCTCAAAATATTCAATTTAATAAAGGAAGTACAAATGGAATTGAAATTGATGAAACTTTAACAATGAGTTTATCGACTCAATGTCAAAACAATCCCAATTGTTTAAGTTTTATGAAATTTAATTTTAATCACACAATAACTTTTCCTTTACAACAACAAAAAAATCTAAGAGATTTTAGAATTTCATTACATAAAGCTATTGATATCCCTCATATTATTCCTTTAAAACCTAACTTCATTAAAAAAGTTCATATTATTTTCAAATCTTCAGATGAAAAAATATTTTATCCATCAACAATTATTGGTTCAGATGAATCTTATTCTCTTTCTATTTCTACTTCTTCTATTATTATTGAAGCTCAAACTGTTTATGGAGCAAGACATGCATTAGAAACATTACTTCAATTAATTCGACCTAATGGAAATACATTTGTTATTTCACAATTACCAATAACAATCACTGATTCTCCAAGATTTAAATGGAGAGGATTAATGGTTGATCTTGCTAGAAATGCTATTAGTAAATTAACTCTTGTAAAAACTATTAATGCATTAGCCTCATTAAAAATGAATGTTCTTCATCTTCATTTAACTGACTCTCAATCATTTATGTTTGAATCATCTTCATTCCCAGAATTATCTAAACAAGGTGCATTTAACCAAGAAAATGTATTAAATAAACCGTTTATTATTCAATTATTACGTTATGCTGCTTTAAGAGGTATACTTATTTATCCTGAAATTGATATTCCAGGACATACTGCATCATGGGGTCTTGGTTATCCAGGAGTAACTGTTGATTGTTGGGATTATTTAACATCAAATAAAATCTTATACGCTGAAAATAGAGTATCATTAAATCCAACTAATGAAACATCTTTTCATATTGTACAAGC